TGTTGGCATCGCTTATCAAGCATAGCACAACATTGTTTCCAAGATGGAAGATTAGAGTAGTCTAAGTATTCATCCCATTTCTTTTTAGTTTCTTGATCAACTTTAGTAATTGTAAGATGTATGATAATTGCATCACAAATTTTTTGCGAAACTTCCGAAACCAGTTGTACAAAGCTGAGATGTCTAAGTTGTTTGGAATCAGCCTTACAAATTTTATCCACTTCGGAAATATATGAAATGTTTTCTAAGAAAATGATTGTATCATTGTCATACCGTTCTTTCAGTCTGACTAGTGCTTTGCCATAGTTTTCTTTAGTTACTTGGAACGACTTGATAGTTGACAAGGCTTTGCCGGTCTATCTGCAAATGCAAATGGTTGAACTTTTCAATAGGTGGAATGAATTCATCGCTCTGAACGAGATTAGTGAAAGAATTTATGAAATTTTTAAATTCGAGATATTTGCCATCAAATCTCGGCAAACATTATTTAGGCAAGCGACTGTACTGCATTTGTGGCATTGAAAACCTATGTTCATGTGAATATGAGATTCTTCTGTTGCCAAGAAAATTCAGAATACGTGATTTTACTGTGACACACAATTCGTCGATTTCCGAGCGACATGTATCCTGTGGCAACAAGCGTTCAGTTTGACCTTGATAATACAATGCTTGTTTATAATACGATTCCACCATACATAGTCTGCACTCAAATTCAGTAGGAGACAAGTTAATTGACGCATCAATAATGTTCTTAATTCGTGTAAGGCTCCCCTTAGATGATGCACGTTGCTGTCTAAGCTCGTCTAAAGAAGGAACAGGAGTAGAAACATTATTATTTGAAACATTACCTCGGTTACCGGTATTTAATGATAACGATGGTTCAGACATTACTACAGCAAATGAAATTGTCCACGTAAGTATGTAACAGTTCTGTGACCTTTTGTACACGTTTAAACAAAAAAAAAACCAACAATGCACGAAGTACGTACGAAAGTGTTCAGTGCACCTTTGTCCACGTTTATGACGAAACAAAATTCAATCGGGTCTCCTGACAGGATCGCCAATGTAAAAATTTTATAAATTCTTTCACTAATCTTTCGATGCTTTGGTAGGTTTCTCATGACTTCTTCAAAAGTAAAAGGCAGTCGTATACTCTTGGCTGCGACACACACAAATCACCAAAGGCCTTTTTTAACATTTTCAACGTTTCGGCACACCTTAATCCAGTGAAGGATGGTCAGCACACCATTTACGTAGCTTGAATTCTACTGATTTCAACAAACTCTTTAACTGCGTTTGTATATCTTTACCAGTTTGAAGACTATTTTTGCAATTCAAATTTCGCTAACTGATGTAAGCATATAGTAGTCAGATATGGGGTTGATCGTGTTTCATAGGTGACTGTTTTCAATTCATAAAATTATAAGGGTTCATTATATTATCTTTGATCTTCGAGTTGAATAATAATTTATCTGTACATTTTTTGAATGTCAAAACAAAAGACAAATCTTGGGCACCTGAATCGAAGTAGAATCGCAAATAATTCATCCTAAATTGTTGGACCAGTAAACATTGTATCATTTAATGATACTCCACTACGTGTTTTGCACGATGCATCAAATACCACTCTCAATTTCGTGGTGCTGCTTTCGGGTCGAAAAACGTCATGATGTGGGAAGATGTAATGAGATGTGACCTGGTTGATGTCAACCTTTTCCATATGTCCGAGGTCAGCATGCTCATTCATGAACTATACGCACTATTTTTTAAGTATTTCGTCCTTTTCGATGAAAACAGTGCTAAAAATCTGTTTATAGCAACTTGATTTGAATCACTAAGCATCGATGGTTATTTTTCATATAAGTTGCAAAATAAGACTCGTATAATTCTTCTGACGGAGTTAGATTTTTGCTTGCTTTTTCTGGTTCATCTAATTGCCAGAACCGCTCGATTACATTCTTTACATCTTGCTCATCCGCAGAGCACATACCACAAATTTGTGGTGAAACAATTGAATTATGATTGGATATTTTCCCTACAATAGGCCATCCAGGCACTGTGTTCTGTAAAATGGGGAGACCATTATCAAGTTTTATATGGCCGATTGACAATAACTGATAGAAAAACTCGGCTCTAAATAGGAGATCGATTTTGTTCGGGTTAAATGACGGATCTGTCAGTTTTATGTTTTGTGTAATTTTCAAGGTTGAGCTTTCAATGTCAATGCCAGGCTGATCACACACAATCTTAGGTAGTACACAGGCCTCTACTCTGCTGGTGTGTCCGTTTATTCTGGACGAGAAAGCTAAAATAATTCGATATTGTGGATCTTGTTTCTTTTATCTCACACCTTCTATGCATGCTAAGGTCTTTTTCAGGTTTCACTTAATTTCTTAATTATTTGAACAGTAATCAGTAATTGGGAGCCAGAATTCCACAATGATCTGCTTTCAATTTATCTTCCATTGTTGCTTTTAACGACAACACGTGAAGTTTCTAATACCACATAATTTTTCTTGGTATTGTGATTGTTGGAGAACAGAGATGCAGGATTTTTTGGGATGGATGCCTTTTTAATCATTGATGTTCAAACGTGCCTTCTAAATGCAGTAAGGTATTGTGTTTTTTTCAGCATTTTATGTAACTGCTTGATGTGCAGTCTTTTGTGAAGTGGCCACTCTTTAGACAATTGAAACATCGTTGCAATGATTTTATGTGATTTGACCTCTTAGCTGGGGTGTCTTCCAGGAACTGCTTACATAAATAAATTGGATGATTTTCTGTTTTGCATATTGGACAATGTACAATTTTTACTTGAGCACTATTAGTTGTGGCTACTGTTTTGACATTTTTTAACAGATGCGTTATTATTTATAGTTTGTATTGATTGCAATCTTTGTTCAATAAATTGAAATGGCTCCTTCATAGTGACCAGCTGCCGATTGGTTTGAACAATCATTAGTTCAAACGCTGTTTGCGTTGGAATTGTTAACTGTAGTAATTTAACTGCCTGAATTGTTGAATTGTGCTGGTTGTGAGAATTGGATGAATTTAGATTGAGCTTCAAACAAATCTCCATGTTTTGGAGTTTTTGATTAATTTCATAATACAATTCCCAGGAGTAACCCTCAATGGATTCTTCTGATGTAGAATTCCATATTTTTTCATTGTTTTTATCGAATGCTTTGCGATAATTTTCTATTAAAACAAGCTTGCAAGAATAAAATACTTCGATTCGACATTCTTGGCTTGCTATTTCAATATCTTGACTGGTTCTGTCAATGACATTTATGAGCGCTCGTTGATTGCGCAACACTCTTGATAATTCTTCATTTCGTTGAAGTTGCTTTGGCTGCTTCTCCTGAGCATTTTCTACCTCTTGAATTTCGGCTAATGCTCTGTTAAAAATATCCAAATATTTTTTTTTTAATTTAGTCATCCTGTCATAGTAACCCGTGTTGAAATATTGGTCTTCTGCATTTTCGGCCATGGCTTCACATGACAGTAAAGTGGTGTGGTTTTTATCTAACGTCGTCCATTGTTCAGACCACCTTTGAGTCCCATCCTTGAAATAGCGATCAGTCTTCCTAGCGGCTGAATCCTTCTTGAAGTTGCTGATTATCCTCTCGATATCAGCTCCTAGAGTTTGTTGTTGGTTGATCAGTGTATCAAATGCTCCATAATGATACAGTTCCTATTTAATGTACTAATAGGACAATGAAGTCGGGGTCACCAAAAATGTTGGTGATTCGTTTATGCTCAATTTTATATCAATAGGTATTTGTATACCGAAATTCCATCAAGCACATATAACCTGTTGGACGGTATATTTGTATTTTTGTTTTCAAGAATATACCAGCGAACACATAAACCCGTTAGTATTTAGATGAAAAGGTAAAATAAATAAGAGATGAGTTTGGTTCGACTTTGTGTAATCGAATTTTTTATTGAATAATTGACTTATCTATATATACATATACATTTTTCTTATAATAATTGCTTATGACTGCTTACTAAAATTATCACCTAAAAAGAATAAGCAAACGTGCAAAAATTTACTGACCTACATCATAGTGCACTTATGCCCTGATTTAAAACAATAAATAACAGCATGCAAGTATACAACTTAATATGACACAAAATAATAAGCAAAATACAACTTAAAATCACACATACAATAATCAGCAAGATTCAAATTCTATGAATTATTTAAAAAGTATTCTAGACCTAATTATCAAAAGAAGCAGTAATCAGCAGAAATGTAAATTACATGTATTTTAGCATTGGTCAGCAAAAGACAAAAAATAAATTATTTATGTTTATGAGTAATACTTAACAAGAGATTTTAACCATGAGGCCTTAAATTCAATAAATTTGGGTGACCGGTGAACGTGAATAAATGGACAGGTATAGGTTTATATGTAAATGGGTTAGACACCTACTAATCGGAAAAGGGAGCTGTAAAGAATTTGTTAGAAACTTTTATTACAGATCAACGGTGACTTTGGAAAAGTAATGGGGGTGAGCAGGTCTAAACCGACTGGCATTTAAAGGACAGCAGTATAGAGAGGAATGGTAGATACTGTTAAATTTAAAGGTAAACAGCCTAAAGATCATTTTTTTTTTGTGGTTATTCTTCAGTTTCTTTGATTTTTTTGTGATTTTTATTTCCTTTTTAAATTAGTTTTGGCAGAATATTCTTTTTCTCTCCAAGTGTAGTGGAGTGTGGTAAAAGACTCACATTAATGTCAACGAGAATACCGGGCTTACCACCGTGCCACACACACACAATCTGGACACGTAACAGATAGTCTACAAATTCCAACTTAAACCCAAATTTAATATAAGCCTTTCTCTACCATAATTTTGATTGAGGACTTGTTCACTGCGAATAAGAATAAATACTGGTGTGGAGAGCGTTCCTGTTGAGAATTGAGTAAAATAGCACTAATTCTAACTCTCATATCTCATGTCTGTCTGGTATCGTCTTTAGAGACAGATGTTTAATTTTATGCTGCACACTGTCTCCTCGGTTACGAAATCTGCACGGCTGTGAGAACGTATGAGTTCAGCTCTTAACTCGGCTACTTCTTTCATTATTTGCGATATCTGCTAGTGAAGCGAAAAAGCGATTACTATGGATGTTGTCGATAAACCTACTTCTTGAACCAAACAAGCGTCGTCCGATTCGCCGACTCTATTAGCCATGATAACAATTTTGTCCAGACAGTCGCTGCTAACTGAAATGACAGCACGTATGTTCGATGGCAAGTTCGTCATCAATATTAGCCTTAATAAGGTATCAATCACTTTCGACCGGCCAAAATTTTCATTTCAAGGAGCTGAAAAGGATGCAAGTCTTATAGAACTATGTGTTGTGCATGTTAAATCACCTAGGTGTTATCAATATATAGCGGACATTTGTAACTAGCATGAACTCCGATGGTTTTTTTATTAAACTAAATAAAAGAACAGTGCCATATATATAATATATATATATATATATTAAAAAAGCTTCTCCTTCAATATTCAGAAGAACTTATCCAATTTGTGAAATACCATTGCTGAGATGTATAAATGTTGTCGCTACAAATCCATAATCAATACGGCAGATCCACCATCTACCATTACTGAAACTCTCACCGCTCCATTAGGGTCATACATTTTTACCGGCAGTATCTCAAATAGAGAGCTACTGATATCGTCTACTTGACATGTTAACAAACAGTTCAATGCTTTATCTAATACTGTATTATTTTCTGCGATGATTTCTTACACTGGTTAATCCTACACTTTCTTTTTTATTGACAAGAAGCAATGTTGTGCCCCTTACACAAGCACGAAACCACATATAGGGCGTTTTATATTAAAAGAGCATTTTATGCCAGCATGGGTTTTTGTTTGGCTGGGCTTAAGCAAACTATTTTCGCTGTTTCACTTAGCTAATCCGCAAATTCTTTAATCGTTATATATGATGATAGAGTTCATGCATATTTTGTTGGCAGTTTTAATACAAATTTTTCCACCATAACGGGGTTTGAAAGATGGTATATCTAGCTGATGTTAGAAAGTCCAAAATATTTCGTCCTTTAGAGGTTAAAAGTATGAGCTGTTCTATTTTGCTAACCGTTATACACGAAATTACTTTTATCTTATTAATTTGTACTCGAACCGTTAAATCAGGTCTACTGAAGCGAAACTAAAGTTCTTTAATGACTTCAGGAATATCTTGTAGAAAGATTAACATAGACAACACTGCTTCTCTTACTTCATCAGCAAAGCATATTTGTAGGCATATAAGATTTTGTATATTACTGCATCCGTTCATAGCAGTAGTATCGTTATAGCTTGACACAAATAATGGTTGCGTGCGAATGATGGGAAATTATACAACTTATTCTCATACTGCATCTGGCTTACTACTGGTGGAGAAGTACATCTTTGACTGTATTTATAGCTTGTGTTGATGGTAATGAATGGTACTATTCGAATCGACTGGATCAGAGCTAGCGACGGTAATTTGAGCCCGCATTTCATCTATATGTTTTCGGCTATTTTCGTTACTTAGCTTCGATTTTTTACTAAATTTATTAAGTTCTTTATTACTGTTTTTTAATTTTTGCACTACATCAGCAAGTGCATTCAAACTTTGCAGAACTAACCTTAGTTAAGGCACTTGTGTTTCAGCTTCATCGTGTTCATCTACTACTGAGTTTTAATCACAAATAGTTAATTAATTATTTTCTGCCTTTTCCACCTTTTTTTACCGCGACATTTTGCTAACACCGTTAAAAATCGATTGCGCAGTCTCAGTGACGATTGCTCTAAGGTGCGGAGGTGTGCGGTGAACACCCTAACATAATTTGCAAAATGTCAAATAACATAGGTATATAAATTTATTAAGTATCTTCACATCAACAATTATTATTATTTATTACATTTCCATATATATATTTTTAAAGTTTTAGCAAAAACAATTAAATATAATTGTCTCTGAAAACTCAATCAATTTGCTTCTGTTAGCTGTTATATTTGTTAGTTGTGCGCATATATTTGCAGCTCACATCACAGAACATTTCTATTATATTTCGTCTCTCCCCTTTGTGTGCAAAGAAGTTGGCCGCACATTCATACGTTGCATATGAACAAAATAATGTGCGTGTTCTCCCGTTCGTAATATCAGAAATAGAAATTTATATAGTGGGAATTGTATGAGAGTAATTTTCTGTTCTACTCGAATATCAACTGCATGCATACGAATCCAACATGATGATTTGCCAAAGTGGTTGCATGAGCGGCTGAATTTTGCAGCTCATCTCACCATACATTTGTATCACATTTCGTCTCTCCCCTTTTAACAGTAGCACCTACGAATTTCTGTCGCTTGCTGTGCGGAGTACTTGTCCGCACATTTATACGTTGCAAGTGGGTTTGATTTTGTTTGATCACTGGATAAACATGTATGGTTCTGAGTTAAAACTCTTTTGTTTGAAAAAAGTTGGTTTGATGTTACGAGAATTATGTAAAAAGTTTTGTTTCTTCCATATTGATATAATATTAAACTTATATATAAATTATTAATAAAATTTGCTTAATATGTTATTTTGTTAATGAATTGTTAATATAATATTGCGAATATATTGTTGCCTAATATAATATAGTTATTATTAATAAAACATCTCATATATTTAAATTTAAGTGGTACATGTAAAAACAACTTTAAAGAAGGGCCGCACACCCTTAAAGAAGGGTCACTTTGCAAAAATGCAAACAAGAAGCATAATGATTAAAACTAAGACGGTTAATTAAAACGATAGAATCCGAATTATTCAATCTATTTATTTTTTGTTTTCTGAAATAATATTCTTCCGACAAGTGCATTAAATCATTGTACGTCCTTGTTGTTTACCTTTTTCCTTAGTACTGACATTGTACAATAACCATGTGTGGAGTTTTTAAAGGAACGACACGAAAAGGAAACACAGAATTTCCATAAAAATATAAAACAGTATAAAATAAAAAACGTTAGAGTAACTTCAACAGTTATAGGTAATAAGTCGCAGTCGTAATAATTTGAGTTTAAGTTATATCACAGACAAGATTTATACAGATTGCAAATGCAGAACAAAAAAATTTCTCCCTCTGATATCATGGTAGCCAGCTCGAGTAGACGCTAAAAGCACAATTAGCTTTGAATTGTAGAACAATTAAGACAAACAAAGGCTGTGTATAACACAATGATCTTAAGCAAAGAAGATAAAGAAAAGAAACTAAGAGGAAATTTTGAGTAATGGTGTCTCTTTGTGTAATATCGCAAAGAAAATCTCTTTTACTTATTTACCATACACTGAATTGTCAAATATTAAAAACGGTGTGGCTTATAACTTAAATATTTACTACATTTGTGGTTGCATATTAGCATGTAGCCATTTCTTCTAATTAGAAGAAATAGTACAAATTATTAGCTGCGTTTCAGCAAACATGATCCGCTCAATTTTACATGCAAAACAAAAACAATGGGGTGAACCAGCAATTGATCTGGTTCACTTTCTGGTTCACTGTGGAATGTATGTAAAAGATAAAAGTGGAACGTATTTTAATGCAAATGAGGTTGGCAATGCGATGCAATGGTGTAGTAAAATTATAAACAAATCTACATTTATTTGCAAACTGCTTGCAAGTTTAAGCTATATTCATGCTTCCGTTTGAAATAAGCCTAATTGCTATGGTGAGGTGCATTTATGTGTGCTGTCAATCACGAACGGAAATTTTGCAATTGATATAAGCTAAACACTAGTTCTTTCAATTATTCTCCATACAGAAGCTTTTGATATGCCAAAACAAATACCAAATTCACGAAAAGTATTCATATTTGCCATATACCACAAAAATATATAAAAATTTCCTTCATTGCTCTCTTCCGATTGTGACCACCATGGTTATTTTGTATTTGCTTATTGGATTTTATTAACAAATCTATTAAAATATGAAACATAATTAAAATATAGCAATTGTATTTTTTATGCGCAAATACCAATCAAATAATCTTTAACGGAACAATTATTGATCGTTTCCATAAAATTTCCACTATATCCATGCTGATGCACTTCATCCCTTGAGCTTAATACACTTGGACTAGTGTTTAAAAAGAAAATGGAGGAGTCATTTTTGCTCGATAATTCTAATAGAATCTGCAATTTTCATTTATTTACTATAGAATTAAATTTAAGTTTTTAAGTAAATACTAAATAAAAACTTACATTTCATACTTCAGACATTTCAACAGATTTTATTTATTTTCCAAGTTTTTAGATTTTTTGTATTCAAAATTTTCTCACTTATTTTTTTAGCGCCAAAATTATTCACATAAATCAAAAAATTTTGTACACAAACCCAACTGGCATATTTCATGCGTTGCCAATTATTTTCAAACGTGATCCGTATCGCTTCAGCAAAGATGATTCAGATCATTGAGCGGATCATGTTTGCTGAAACGCAGCTATTGTTCTTGGAAAATCCATTGTATATATTAATACGATTATAATGAGTAAATATAGGCATGATTTTTTATATCAGTTTTACTTCAATTTACATAAA